CCCCAAAACCCCAAAACCCCAAAACCCCAATTAAGCACAAAAATATTGATTTAAGCTTTTTCTAAATCCCTTTGTGTCTACATAGTGTTTACAAAAATCTTGAGTTATCAGTGTCAAATTTGCTATCCATGTTGTTGCTACCATACATTGCTTTGAAGGTATCTTTTGAAGCAAATCCAGCATCGTCTTTATCCTTTCTATTCTTCTTTTTATCCCTCTTCCTCATTTTTGCTTCATGTTCTTCAAGAAGAGATTTTGGACGGTGTTCCTGATTATAGCTATCCATGAACTTCGTATGCTTTCTCTGGCGAAGAGCTTCTTGTTGAGTGGTTAGTTCCTCTACCTTTGCCCCAATTGTAAGCTTTTTGGCTTTTTGAGCCCGCCGTTTATCTTCAAGCTGCTTCTTGTCTCCGAAAATTCCCATGATAGTTTCTTCAATTACGCTTACAATTCCTTTATCTTTTTCCTCATCCTTTTTCATCATTTTCAAAGTTTCGTCAAGATAATCATCAGCTTCTTCTTTCTCGATCTCGTCTGTTTGAAGTTTGAATCCCTCAGGAATTGCTGGCCCAATCAAGCCCTCATTTACATCGAATGCAGAGTCTTTAAACATAGGAGTTGGTTTAGCAGGCTTTTCGGCCTCCTCCTCATCTCCTGAGTCTCCTGATTTGTAAGAATCTTCTGAATTAGCTTCAGAGTCTTGATTTGCAGATTCATCTTCTGCTTTCTCTAAATCTTCCTTCGCATCTCTGAGAAGGACCAGCATGAACTCTCTAAGTTTGAAATCATGATATCTAAAAGTGTGTTAGAGTTATTAAAGTTACTTCTTGTTTTTACGATACACAAGTGTTCTCTCATCATCTCTTTTGAACCTCATGAGCTTGAAAATCTTATTGAGCTTGTTTTTGACATACTCATCTGCGATACCGTCTAAAGATTACATATAACGATTACCAATATCAATCTCGCTTCCTTCTGCCAGCATTTCAAACAGATCAGGTAGCTGAGACATGGTCTCCTTCTCGCTTCTCTCAATCAACTTGCCAAGGATCTTCTTGATCAGGGAAATGTCTTTCCCAGTGACCTTCTCTGAGAAATGTTTAGAAATGTAGTTGTTTTTGCGATAATTTTGTAGCACCTTCTCCAACATGTTGTTCTCATGCTTAATTTGTTTGGTTTTCTTGCGGCTCTTCTTGGCCTTGATTTTCTTGACATGCCTCTCTTTCTTCTTCTTATGCTTCTTTCTCTTTTCCTTGAATTCTTCTGGAAGGAAGCTAGTTGACTTCTTGGCCTTCATCCACGCTATTTTTTCAATTTTATTCTAATTTTTGGGGTTTTGGGGTTTTGGGGTTTTGGGGTTTTGGGG